ATAAAATCTTCTGCTGCTAGAGAGAAAGTTTATATAAAAAAAAAAAAAACGTGTAATTGGTTTTATTCTTTATGCATATTATTACTTTTATTCTGTTTAATGGTTTATTGGTTTAATGTTGTTCCATATTGTTTTCGTAAAAAATAATTTTTAACATCATTTTATTTCAATTAAAAATCTGAAATAAATCGAATATTTATGAATATCTATGTAGAATGTCGTAATTTCTTGATAACAAGAAACAGATCAAAAATGATTTCGAAATCCTTCACGGACTTTTAATCGGTAAAAGATATCTACATTTTTAAATATTATAATATGAAATAAAATTTGTCTTTATACATAACGATATTATACTTATCTATTTTTCGTCTTATAACGATTTTAATATTTATACAAATGAATAATCTTCAATATTGTACAATACATTCGCTAATATGTTTTCATAATCATTAAAAAAATTCCAAATAGGTCATTTTTAATTCATTGGACCCCTTGAAACATGTCTAATATAAAATTTCAAGTAAATATTTAATAAATTATGTTTATTAGAGCATGTAAATGCTCTAATAAGAATATTTAATTAATTATTTAGTAAATTACTTTTTAAATCTTATATTTAAAATATCTTATCTGACTTAATAACCTTATATATTTTCATATTCACGTATTTTCGGTTGCAGCGATTCGATTCGATTGGTCGATTAGCACTGAGAGTTCGCGGGAAAGGCCAGTGGTTCGACATATGATCCCATCAATTGGAATAGTTTTAATCAACTTAACGGACCGGAATTTATAGAGCGTTCGTAGAAACTACGTGGGTCACCCACGTTAGCCGCGGCACTTTAATCGAATAAAAAGCTACCCAATACCTAGAACGAATAACCGATGGAGTCTTTTGTCTCGATTGCTCTAAATTACGATTCCGAATCATCCACGTGTCGACGATCGAGATCATTCACTCGACTTCGCAAAAGTTTCAAAAGTTTCGCGATTTTTTTCCTTTCTTCTTTATTTTTGAAGCTCTAAAAGGAATTTACATAGTAAGTTTCAAAAAGATCATATATCGCAAATTCATTATTAGTTCATTATAAACGTTAAGTATTTTCAAAATGTATTTTGAATTCTAGCAAGTTCAATATTTCAAGATTATTAGTTAAATAAATTCAATTGTTTATTATATAATAACATATAAAGTCGCTTCTTCGATCAATTTTATTATATTTAAAAAAAAATTTTTAAATTTTTTTAATGCATATTAATGAGTTTCGCTAAAATTTGTAATAATTAAAAAGAATATTTTAAGATTATTATCAAGAAGATATTCTTTATTAAAAATCTTTATTAAAAAAAAAAAGAAAGTAAATTAAGTAATCAATAGAATGATAGTTTTCTGTATGAAACTGAGAAAAATGTTCTTGTTGTATCAACAAGGGATACGAATAAAATGTATTGTGAGCAAATTATATTAATCAAAAGTTTAATTATCGTAATTGAATTTCCGGTTATCTCAATTATAGAATGTTTAATAGATTGAATTATAAGTGTCCGATTTGTATCTTTATGACACAAATTTGAATCAAAATTCTAATTAATGCAATTAAATTTTTTTTCTAGATCTAAAAATGATGATAAGATAAAATCATTTTTATTTTTCGATACAATTGTTCTTTATTGCAATATATTTTTAAAACGCATACGATGAATTTTTCTGTACCGTTAAAGAGTATTCTGAATTTTTGTCCTCAAACTTTAATCATTTGTTATGCAAAAGAACGGTTTTACTTGAAATATCTAACAATTTAGATGGTGCAGATCTGAAAATAATTTTGTTAGACCATCAAAATAATTATGTATAAAAACAGAATGATGGCTGCAAGATATTCTAATATTCTAGCAATCAGCTTGACCGTATTACATAATTATTTTAGCATTTTAGCAGAATTATTCTCAGATCAATATGTAATTTTTTAGATATTTCAGCAAAACCATTTTTTCCATATACAGTTCCCGACTTCCCTCTAGTGAATATTCTCAAAATTGAAGTTTTATTTGCGTGGAAAAGACGTAATATGATGAAGAAATGGTTTTAACGTTAAACTTATTAAGACAAAAAAAAATTCAAAATATTTCTTAGTATAAAAAATTAATTTATTATTCTAAAAACATTATTGAAATAAAAAATAATTATATAGATCAATTATTTTGAAGAATTAAAATGTTGTTTCATTTTATCACCTTTTATCACCTAAATAGATCGGAAATTCTTACGGACTTTACTATGTGACTCAATGACGCGGAATTATACGGGATGCGTTCGCCATGTATCCGATTCAACGGGTTCGATCCGGCGATCCACAGAATACGACTCGCCTCACTTTATCGATTGTATCGCTCCGTGGATATTGCGGACACGCGATTTATTCGGTAAAGTGCATCTAGCAAATTGCGGAGAAAGCAACACCGGTCGATGTGCACGATCCTCATAAATGTCACCGCGAGCGCATAAACATCGGACATGAGCGTGTCTCGATCCCGCTGAATATCGGTTAGTGAAGGGAAGGTGATGCGAAACGAGCGGTTAAAGGATGAAAGGCCGCCGAGTTTTCGGTCGACTCATTCTTTGCAGAATGAACAGATCAGCACGATTGCACAAATTGAGCGGAAATCGGAATTTTAATTGATAAAACAATGCACATATGCATTGGAATCTGCTTTCAGACAAAAATTGAGAGAAAAAAGTGATGTCGGACTCGTTGTTCCGCGAGAAAATGATGACGATGAGCAGTGAAAGTTAATATTTTTGAATATCGATGGATACATATCTCGTAGCTATCGTTACATACATAGAGGTCTGTCGAAAAAAAATGCGGAAGATTTATCTATACACTGAATTCGCCTCTCTCTCTCTCTCTCTCTCTCTCTCTCTCTCTCTCTCTCTCTCTCTCTCTCGGCGTTACGTGAGATTTTTTTGAACGTGGAATTTTTGCACCGTAACGCCATATGGCCTCGTGAGTTGTGGAACGATGTTTGGGAGATGTTTTCCAACTTTTCGCGTTTTCACGAATTCGCGGCAACTCGAAAAATCGTAGGGTATCTCGTGAAAACTGGAGTATTTTGTGAAAGTTTGGACAATCTGTGTTTCTTTTATTATACGCGAACGTTCCGTAAAAATGAAACCTCATACTTGCACATAACAATATCCAAGATTATCTGATAATTGTTCAACAAATCTAATTAATTCTCTCTCTCTCTCTCTCTCTCTTTAATTTATATTATGTTATGTTTAAGTCTTTTGCTATCGTTCTCATCTGTATTATCTTCCTATTTTTATTTTTATTGTCTTTATTATTTTTTTTTTAATTCGGTTCTTAATATTCTATATATTTTTGATTGTTAATAATTTTTGTTTTCAGTGCTTAAGAAGTGCTCCAATAAATAACAATTTCTTTTTCTCTCTTTCTTTATCTCATTCTTAATACATCTGTACATTTATATCTTCATTTTTGTTCATTTACATCCTTTTATATAGCTTTTCTTTTTATATTTATTTTATGTTATTTTATTCATATTCTGTTTCTCTTATCTTCAAGTCGTTTTTTTTTATTTTACTTATATTTTGTTCATATTTTTCTTTTCATTTTTACCGCTATAATTTGTATTCTGCAATTCTTAGCTCATTTTTATAACTTTATATTTGTTCTTAGAGGACACTCTAATAAACTCTTTATCTCTCTCTCTCTCTCTCTCTCTCTCTCTCTCTATTTTCCACGAAATACGCCTATTTCCATCAGGCATTGTGTTTCTCGTTTCGTCCACCCGCTCATTCCGAAACGCCGAATTTATTTGTTTGCCGCATCCATGTTTCGTCTTTGTTGCGCCGCAGGCGAAACTGGCGGACGCGACGGGCCGAATGAATGAAATTACGCGGTGAGAATTAATTGTGCGGGTAAGTCATTGCCGGGCCGACCGTGCTCGTAATTAAATTAGCACGGCGAAATGTTTCGTGCGTTAAACGATTGTGTAACCGGCACGGCGGATGGACGGCGGTGAACCTCGCACTCTTTCGCGGCTTTCGTTGCACACCGCGAACCATCGAATGAAATGCGAACCTTTGTTTTTTTTTTTTTTTTTTATTCTGCTCTACAGGGAGGGGGTTGTCCATCCGTGTGACAACCGGTCGAAAAAAAAGAAAGAGTTTCACGCGACACACGCGCTTTCCAATTCATTCCGGATTGCGAAATGCGAAAAACGGGAAAAAAGCGAAATAATGTCGCGCCTTTTTTCGCACTGCGATATTCATGCGAGATTTAACCGAAGATTTGAAAAACTCAGGGTGCGACAACAACATCGGTAAGCTCAATTTACGTCGTACAAACATTTAAATGTCTATGACGAATTTTCTTTAATTTTTTTAAATTGGGAAATGGCCCACATCCTCTGTTTTTCTTTCCATGTACACTGATTGATTGCCAAGGAGATCCCTGAACTCTTGGAAGAATCATTAAACCATTAGAGTGCTCGGATATTTGGAGACGATTCTCTTTTTGTTAAAGTTTAGGCCCTTGTGACGGTTTTATTCTTATTGTTAAATATCTTGGTAATTAAATTCTACAAGAAATTTTTGAGTTTGATTAATTGGAAATCAAGGACTGGATAACGATTTCTTTTGATGCGAAAATTTTCAGTTTAAAGTTTTGAACAAAAATAACAGTCCAAACTCTCGGTATTAAAGTTTTTAAAGTTTTTCTGAGTCCGAAGAAACCCGAAGTTTTTAAACAATTGACCAACAGAGAGAGATTAATGGAATACAAAATAAACGTATCAAAATTTCCTTTTAAATTTCTCGTACATTGCAAATATCTTTTTTATTTTTTCTTAAAGGAATTCTCTTTTAGAGATAATGTTTGTTTTTATAGGTTCTGTTTTCTTCCAAGTCCATGCAGGACTTGTTATTAAATTCTATTATTAATTGTATTTATTCGCGTTTCTATTTGCAGGGAGAACGATCAAATAATCGGTTCCTACTTGGAAATCGAGGACGTCACTCTCGAGGATTACGGCGAGTACAAATGCGAAGTCAGCAACGGCGTCGACGAGGAGATCACATTGGCTGCTCATGTGTACCGGCAAGGTCCGAAAAACCATCTGAAATCTCTCATCAGCTTATCCCTGTCATCATAAAACTACGACTTTGAGTGAAAACAGAATAGAATATTTTTACATTGATTATCTCAACATTAATTCAATATTTTACTTTTTTTGTTACGTATCATTGAACATTAATTTTCGGAGTTTTTAATCCAGCAATCATTATTTTATTTTTGAATTTAATTCTATATCGAAATCCCGAAAGCTTTTCATACGAATTAGATTTGAAATACACCGGATTAAATAATTCAGCTTGTTATTTACTGGCATTGTTAATTATGGTTTGACGCAAAACGCATTCAATCAGTCTGAATGCTTTATTGTTTGCGTATAAAAACAGGTTTGCGTCGGATTCATTTTAATAATTAGTGGAAATGTCCGGAAAACATATCGGCCAACTAGCAAACCACGCGTGCCGGCGATTTACTTTATCGGTTTTAATTATTATACAACAAATTAGTTTCGTGGACAAATTATTACAACATCACGATAAAATCTTGTTTTTAAATTGGACTCATTGTCAGATTTATCATAAAATTTAATATCGCGTACATTTATGCTCTATTATTGCTATCTGATATTATTTTATGATAAAAAGAAAGCAATATCTCTTTTATCTTTGTGCGATAGTCTATTTGTATTTTTTTTATCAAAGTTAAAACATTTTGGGATTAAATCCCTTTATAGGATTTATTTAATCAAACATTTCCGATGTTCAAAAATAATTAATTTTAATTTGAATATACATATATTTATGTTTTTATTAATTTTAAACTGTCCTTTTATATCGAGATTTATTGATAATTATACAAATTACTACTTCGATAATCTTAACATATGTTGTCAAGATCATAATATTGAGCTTTGTGTATAACTAGATCTTGGTTTCTCTTATACAGGATTATTACAAATTCTTCAAATTCCATAACTTTTCCCTGATTTTTAGATAAAATTTCATAACTTTTCTTCAAGCTTTCAATAATATTTTGAAATTTCTTGAATTTTCGTGATTTGAAAGCTGTTATACCTATATTTTATTAAGAGAGCAATTTAACGTAGCAATTACCATTAATGTTGTTAACTGCTTATATTTAATTGTTAAATTGATAGTATTTCAAAACTGTGTAGAATATGTATAACCTACGCATATTGCACTTCTTTAAAGCTAAAAAAAATTTAATTTTCCAGAAAATTTTACAAAATTCTCTGACTTTCTCCTGATTTCCCTGACTATTTTCAATTTCCCTAATATTTCTCTGATTTCCCCAATTTCTAGCTTCGTAGCAACTTCGTTATCATTTCTGAGATATTTAAAATTAATATATAATTTTAATAGTAAATCATCATCTTAGAGGACAAAGTCCGATGATCTCAATCTTAATACGTGTCATCAAGGTTATCATTTGCAATGATTGACTTTCAGACGATTTTAGTTTCACTATTTATTCAAATGTTATTAATACATTAAATTTCATTATTTTCAAAAAGTAAACACAGTAAGTTGTAAATTTATATGAACTTTACTTCGCATTGTAAAGTGTGTGCGTGGACGCAGTGGATCCCACCTTCCCTACGGGGACGGACAGTAGCTTCGCTACCAAAACCCTAAACACATAGGGTTAGGTTGAACCTCGCCTCGAGGAAAGTTGTAAATCCATGTGAGGTTTACAATTTTCCACGCGAAACGAGGTTCAACTCACATCTATGTGTCTAGTAAATTGATAATGCAGCCTCCTCTCGTGGAGGAGAACGGAACCCACTGCGTCCATGCACTTTATTGATGACATTTAAATAACGTCAATTTTATGTAAAGATTAGAATTTTATATTTATGTTGTTACCATTTTGTAATAAAGTTTTTCTAATGGTACATTTTAGGTTTAATCTATAGAGCGAAGTATTCAAAGAGAATAATTAAATGGAGAACTAATAGAGAAAAGATTGTTTTCTTGGAAGTCAAATTGTGATAAAACTCAAAATTTTCCGGCCTATCTTCAGTGACACAAAAACTCTTACATTTTTAATAAATTTTGTATTACAAATTAATTTTTTATATATAATAATTTTATATATAATAATGAGTAACTAAATGGAGAACTGTATTCATTTATCTATTTCTCTTCCTAAAATAAATTCATAAATTTTGTTTTTTATTTAAGCATAAAACTCCAAATTATCTCTTTCAAATCACATCACCTTCTTTTTACACACAGTCGTAGATTTTTATTACTTTGTTTTTTATACAACATCTCGAGATTTCTTTTTTTAATTCACAGAACCACAGTTCGTATTGAGCCTTCCGAATGGGTCTTGGCGGAAATCTCTTCTACTGGCAGTCCTCGTCCTAGTGCTGTTACTATCAGCTGGCGCATTTTACGCGCGTTGCTGGCTGCCACTTGCACTGTTTTGCAGAGACAAGTTCGGTCGCCTCGAGGAAAGCGGTGAGTTCACAAATCATAAATAACTTCTCCGGCGCGATTCTCCGCCACTCAGAGATTTCAGTAAGAAATTACCCTCGAACTGAGGATATCTTAGATTTCTCTAGAAATTTGAAGATCGAAACTTGAAAATTTGTAAATCCCAGAACTCCACTCGTACTTCCCAAGAATTTAAAGATTCTATAAAGTCAAGGACATTGGCGTTCAACTTTTCAAACTTGAGCTTGATCTTTTTTTAGCCTTGCGAGAATTCTCATTTTATTCTCGTGAGTATTCTAAAACGCAAGAGCCTTACGATTTAAAAATAAAAATACATTTTCACGGAACAGAGAAATTCACCGACTCGAAATTTCCGAAAAATCTTCCGGGAAACGCAAAGGATCAGAATTTAATTTTCTCCGTCTAAGACTTTACGTATCGTAGACTTACGTTCCCAGGCTCTTCTATAATTTAATGGTCCTTAAAACGAAATCTCGTTATCTGAAGACAAGAATACGGCTTGATATAAAATTCGAAATCACATGGATCGCAAGGATTTTTCCCTAATCCCTAAGGGGATCCTCATCGGTCAAAGATCCTCACTCCATCCTCTTTATCCTTTCCTCCGCTAGTTCGCCTTTTTTGGTGACTACAAATTCGCCACGGCATGAAGATAGAGGGGAAGGAAGAGGATGCTGTCTAGGTAATTATCAGCGACGCTTTTTCGTCCACTTAATTGCAACTCTTAATTACCGTGAAAAGTACCGGTCCGGCAAGGAAATTAAAGTTGTTCCTTGATCTCTTTTTTCTTCGTATTTTCTACCTCCCCTTCTCACGCCGATCGCCATCTTAATCCTTCTGGTTTTCTTTTCTTCTCGTTTCCATTCTCGTCTCATTACCTCAATTTGTTTAAATAATATGCTGATAGCGGCGCGAAGCCCGTGGGAATCCACTCCCAGGCGTTCGCACTTCAAGATATCCCTCCAGGTTTCATCCCTTTGTTTCCCCAACTGCATCGTCTCGGGGTCTTATGTATTGCAAATTGAAAGAGGTGAGTTTTTCATGGAATCGCTTATCTTAAAAGTACACGAGACTCAGGAGGATAATCTAGGTGAGAAAACGCAATGGCCTTTGTTTCGCAGCTGTATAATTTCAGCGTGCCGTCTCTGACACACACACACACACACACACACACACACACACACACACACACACACACACACACACACACACACAC